GAGACTAGAGCTGAGTTAAGAACCCTGGAAACTGACAGAGGAGGTGAGTTTGTGTCTCAAGACTTTCAGTTGTACTGTGAAAAGCAAGGTATTAGTCGCCACTTGACTGCACCCTACTCTCCTCAACAAAACGGAATTGTGGAACGACGAAACCGAACTTTACTTGAAATGACAAGAAGCATCTTGAAGCATATGAACCTACCAAATCAGCTCTGGGGTGAAGCAATAAGACACGCGACATACTTGATCAATAGAGTTGCGACAAAATCTCTAGAAAAGGAGACCCCGTACAAAGCCTTAAAGACTCGTAAACCAAATCTCTCACATCTAAGAGTCTTTGGGTCTGTCTGTCATGCAAGAACAGAGAGAGCAGGTCGAAAAAAGCTTGATGATAGGTCTAGAACTCTTGTCCACTTGGGAACAGAACCAGGATCAAAGGCTTATCGCCTCCTTGATCCAAAGACAAGACGTATTGTTGTTAGCCGTGATGTTGTATTTGAGGAAGACAAGGTGTGGCATTGGACAGAGATGATAGACTAGGGTGAACCGTTTGATTTCATGGTTAATCAAAGAACGTTGAGTGAAATTTCTGGGAGTGGAGAAACACCACTCATGAATGATGAAAACACTGCTGAAGTGATTGAAGAGGAAGAAGGTGACAGTGAGAACGAAGACTTTTAACCTCAAGCTAGACGATCCACCAGGGTAAGATCGAAACCCTCCTACTTAGAGGATTATATCCTACTTGCAGAAGAAGAAAGTGAACAATTATTAATGATGATCAGTGATGAACCGTGGGATTTCAATGAAGCTAAAGAGATGGAAGTATGGATAGATGCATGCAGAGATGAGCTCTTTTCGATAGAAAAGAACAACACATGGGATCTTGTTGAGTCACCATCAGATGTAAAACCAATTGGTCTGAAATGGGTATTCAAAATCAAACGTAATGCTGACGGAACGATCAACAAATATAAGGCGCGCCTAGTAGCTAAAGGATATGTACAGAAACACGGCATAGATTATGATGAAGTGTTTGCTCTGGTGGCGAGAATCGAGACAATACGACTAATCATTGCTTTAGCTGCAACACATGGTTGGGAGATACACCATCTTGACGTCAAAAAAAGCATTCCTTCACGGGGAACTCAAAGAAAACGTGTTTGTTACTCAGCCTGAAGGTTTCGTCGTGTCTGGACAAGAAGACAAGGTATACAAGCTAAGGAAGGCTCTCTACGGTCTTCGACAAGCGCCTAGAGCCTGGAACATAAAGCTGAATACGATCTTAAGAAACCTAAAGTTCAAACGCTGTTCAAAGGAACCTTCCCTTTATCGCAAGGAAGGGAACAAAGAACTGCTCATTGTCGTAGTGTATGTAGATGATCTATTGGTTACCGGATCATCTGTTGGAAGCATATTGGAGTTTAAACAAGAAATGGCTATCAATTTTGAGATGAGTGACCTTGGACTGCTAACATATTATTTGGGAATCGAAGTATTGCAGAGAGATGATGGGATCATACTCAAGCAAGATAGATATGCTAGAAGAATACTTGAAGAAGCTAAGATGAGCTCGTGTAACTGAACTCACGTACCACTTGAGTTAAACGCGAATCTGTCTAAGGCAACACATGAAGAGAGGATCGATGAAAGAGAGTACCGCTGCACTATTGGATGTCTTAGATATCTACTACACACACGTCCGGACCTATCCTTTAGTGTGGGGGTTCTCAGCAGGTATATGCAAGAACCTAGAATGTCTCATGGTGCAGCTTTGAAACAGGTTATGAGGTATCTTCGTGGTACTTGTACTCTTGGTTTACACTATCGTAGAAACAAAAGCTTTAATCTTGTGGGTTATAGCGACAGTTCTCATAATGTTGATAATGACGATGGTAAAAGCACAACCGGACACATATTTTACCTTGGGGAAAGTCCTATCACGTGGTGCTGAACGAAGCACGATATAGTAGCATTGTCATTGTGTGAGGCAGAATTCATGGCTGCTACAGAGGCAGCAAAGCAGGCAATATGGCTACAAGATTTATTGGGAGAAGCCGTTGGTGAAGAGAGCAATAAGGTTGTGATCAAAGTTGACAATAAATCTGCAATCGCTTTGTCTAAAAACCCTGTGTTTCATGGCCGGAGTAAGCATATACACAGACGGTTTCACTTCATAAGAGAGTGTGTTGAAAACGAGCAAGTAGAAGTGGTTCATGTCTCAGGTAATGAACAAAAGGCTGATATACTTACTAAGTCACTTGGAAAATCAAGGTTCGTGGAAATGAGAGACTTAATAGGAGTTCAAGATGTGTGTGGAGACAAGATCAAGCTTAAGGGGGAGAATGTTGGATAAGCTTGTATCTCAAGTTTCATTTATTTTCTCTTGGTGTTTTTCCTTATCTTATTGAAGTTGTGTTTATCTAATACTACTAGGTTTAGGTTATGTGTAGTCCTATATATATATGGGCTACATGGTTTTACGTTTTGGTGTTAGTGCTTTTTGCGATTTGTGAGTTGTAAATTGTGATTTGAAGTTTGGTGATTAATAAAGAAGGACTTCTCGTGAACTTTGTGTGATTCTATAAATGATCGGTTTGGAAGATTGAATGAAGTTTCTGTAAGATTTGAACACAATATTGGAACATTTCACGATGAAAACCTACAAAGTCAGGGAGCGCAGGAGTTGGAAAATATGGTATGCATTCTAACAATGGTGTTTACGAGGTTCTTGAATGTCCCGTGTGTACTAATCTAATGACGCTTTCTTTGAGTCAAAAGACCCAGTAAGATCCCCAACTCATCATTCTTCCATGAATCTGTTATGAATGTGAATAGCAATACTCTGTCATTGATATTAACGTATCTCATACAACTTGTAACTTAGAGATATCTAGACCTCATAACGGTCAGAGCTGACTCATGAAGTCAAGCTATTATCTCAGATACAATTTGCAAAATGAGAAAATAATCATTCTATAGTATTTATAGTCTTAGTTGTAATCATCTTCATAATCTTGTCTTCGTGAGAATCAATCCAGCTCAGCAACAGGGACATTAGGACAAGGTCACTTAGCAGTGTCGTCCCTAACATTTTGGTGGCCTAAAGCATAAAATCTCAGCATCATTTTTAACTTTGCTTGTAATACCATTTTTAGAAGTTTAAGTCTCCAAACATAAATCTTTTTTTGGTAAATATCACCCCAACAGCCAATGTTTATTTTCAAAATTCAATTCAAACACACTTTATGACTGGTTATTAATCAATTTGCTAACAAGATTTTATGCCCATACAAACTAAAGAAATAAAGAAGAAAATAACAATTAAAAACACACAGAACTTGAGAAATACCAGAATCCAATTGTTATGAATCAGATGTAAACAAGGAGGTGAACTGGTTCTGAACAATTCAAAGGCAAATTATTTTTGTATGCATGAAGAGGGTCAAAATTGTTTATAGTAACGACTGGAAGGTTTTTGTTGTTTGACAAGAAGTTAGATTTCTTTTCAATTTTATTTCGATAACTACAAGATAAAAAAGGAAATTGGTTTCAAAGCTATAATAATAAAAAGAGGAATGCACGTGTATATGTGGTTTGATATCAAGCCAAATCAAATGAGAAATAATGTAAACGAAATATAAGATGTGGCCTAATTATTATTATTTTTAAATGTGGCCTAAAGTTAATGCTTTAGCTGCCTTATAAGAGGCATGGGTCTGTCACTTAGATTTCATGACATGGAACAGTTTAATAGCATCTGATTTTTTTTTTCACTCCTCAGCAAACCTTCAATCATAACAGTACGAGCTATAATGTCCGGTTTCAAGCCTGATCAATTATACCGTTCCATATTCTAGCTGCATCCATCAAGTTCTTAACTCTACACCAACCAACCATTGAGTAAAACAGTGTTAGTCATCAGGTTAGGAGTAAACCTCTCCTTCAACTTATCAAACAATACTAGAGATTTTTTCCCAAGCTTAGAACATGATTATCGGTTGTTACCCTTCATGGGTTTCTAATTTTTTTTTTGTCTGGTTAAAAAAAAAACTAAAAAGGGAACTAATTGCGGATCGCCAAATATCAATCGAATCCACAAATAGTACAAAAATTGATTCTTAATTGCTTACTTCTGAGTTTGGTTTTAATTTTTTTTGTGGAGTCCAGTAGCTTAAAAATTCCTTAAGGACCCCATATTTCACCCCGATAATCATGGTCTTAGCCCTTTCCAAGACTATCTAGCAAGCAATTAATCGTTTCAACACCAACTTCAAACTTGTACTTCATCAACTCAAAAGATACCAACAGCTTTCTTCCTCTCTTTGGCCCATTTGCCTACTGAGCTGATCACATTGTCATATTACCAGTTTAACCCTTGGGTCCACCAGGAGCATTAAAGCGCAAACGCATAAAATGATCAACAAAGGTGTCAATTTTTTATAGCTATCTGTATACATCTTATCTTCATTTTAGGGTCATGATATTTTCACAAGGGGACCATTTATGTTTTAGGTTTTATATGCTTCAATCATACACTTCAGTTTGTATACGTTTATGGTGGATAATTCAGATCTGAAAATTATGATGAGAATCAGTGTAGCTTACTGTCATAGATATGAATAAATGAAAATTTCGAGAACTTTTTATAGATTACTTCTTATCTCTTTTTTTGTGTTCTAGAAAGTTCAAGAATCTGGAGCTCATAATATTCTACCATATATATACTTGTTCGAAAGGTGTAGTAATTCTTATAAAACATGAATTATCTCTATACAAATATCACATAGCATTTAATATAATATAAAAAGAGTCAAATAATGTAGCTTATTTTCGCACCTACAATATCTTCTTTGGTTGGTTATAACTTATCAATCAAACGTGGGTTTATGTCCTATCTTTACATAACACTATTAGTCATGATAAGGTGTCTGCAAGCCTTTTGCATATATATAACTAACTACTTACAAGTCACCCAAAATATATCTAAATAAAAACACTTAACTCCAAAAGCGGAAATCAAGTGGGTTTTGAGTTTGCATACTTGTATAAATAGAGCCAAAACCGCAGTCTCTTCTTCCATCAAACCTTCTCATTAGATATTTCTTCTCTCATATTATAAGAAAATAAAAGAGTTTTTTATAGTAAAGAAATGGAGGAAACCAAGGAGAGAAAGATCGTAGTAGCAGTGGACGAGAGCGAAGAGAGCATGGAAGCTCTTTCATGGAGTCTTAACAATCTTTTTCCTTATGGTTCCAATAATACCCTCATCCTCCTCTACGTCAAGCCACCTCTTCCCGTTTACTCTTCCATTGATGCTGCAGGTTAGTCTCGTTATTACAATATATCATTTGATTAACTACCCTTTATGTACTTCTTTCAGCTGATGGATTTTGTTTGGTCGACTTTGTAGGGTTTATAGTGGCGGGAGATCCTATTGCAGCCTTGAAGAAATACGAATACGAGCTTGTTGAATCAGTCATGTCTCGATCTCGGAATGTGTACCAAGATTTTGAGTCCGATGTAAGCTTCTTCCTATATATTTTGAATAACTTTATTAAGAAAGATTTGACAAATTATAAATAAGTGGAATTTAATTATAAGTAAGTGTGCTTGCTTTGAAATGTTTCTTGTTGTTATGTAATACAAAGTATTAATATATGTTTTCAATACAAAACCCGCATTAGATTCCTTAGCGATATAATATATCCTTTCCAAAGATTTGAGGAAACAATGGCTTACAAAGTAGCTAAAGTGATTGGTATTGTGCAGATTAATATAGAGAGAAAAGTTGGAAGAGGGGATGCCAGGGAAATTATATGTAACGCAGTTCAGAGTCTTAAGGCTGATATGTTAGTTATTGGCACACATGACTATGGCTTTTTCAAAAGGTAAGACCTTAATTAATCATTTTATGATTGTTTAATACTTATGTTTGATAATTGATTATTGATATGTTTTATGCATTGATAGGGCTTTGCTAGGCAGTGTGAGCGAGTATTGCGCCAAACGAGTGAAGTGTCCTGTGATTATCGTGAAGAAGAATATGCCCCCAAATAATTGAGCTCAAGAGTCACTCTTATGATTGTGTATGTTTGAAAGCAATTGATGTAAGAAAATCAACCTTCGTATGCGAATATGTATTACTTTTACGTTTTTTATTTTCACCTAGGTCTCCTGTTAACTTAACGGTGGATTTACATTTGATAAGATTTAAAACTTGGATATGTGAAATTTAACGTTTGATTGGTAGAGGCTTTACCTTTAGTTTCTTTACTTTAGAATTTAAGTTTAAAATATTTATGTTTTAGCTATATATTTAATTGATATAAGATTTATTTCAAAATTTCAAAGTACTAAAATATAAAACTGTACAAAGTTTATTTTTAGAGCCAAAAATATAGATTTTTTTTTTTTAATTAGACTGTAGATTTAGATTTTTTTTAATTAAAACATGAATGATAACTTAAAGTGGTTATGAAAACAATAATGGATGTTGAAATCACATCACTTACCAGTCCCTTGCATGTTAGTAGTGTATCACCAATTCCAAATGATTATTTTCACTCTAAATTATTGTTAACTTCAAACAAGACTCAATGTACTATTTTAAAATATATTGCGAAGTGTGTAAATGTACGTATATATGTTGGATACAACAAGATTTTCTGTTTTTGACCACTTTTAAATTCGGATACGATAAATTGTGAACTATATTTTGTATGAGATTGTGTGGCAATGGCTGTCTCTGAGCTTTTCACAAAATTTTGAGAGATACTTTAGAATTTAATAATGTATTCAGTGACCTACATAACTCATACCATAATTTAGTGAAATCATGAAAATATTTGTTACATAAAAAGACAACCTCCTTGAGATTTTTCCCATCTTCCTCTTTGTTTCCTGTTTTTTTTACTATAATAAAACCTAATAATGCTATTACGGATCATAACAAATTCTCTTTTATAACACCAAACGTCTAAAGAAAGAGTACTAAGCCAAGATTTTGTTGATCTTCTTTTGATCAAAAGTGATAAAGAGGTTGCATCTCTTCTGTTCTTCTTATGTTTTGTTGGGGGTTTGCGAGAACTCATGTCCAACTCTTTATTATCAGATTAGTACGTATTTTGGGCATAATAAGCAAGTCCGCATGGACTTACGTTTATTTCCAAAAAAGCTTCGTACTAATTAGAATTAGACATCTCTTTATATATAAGATCATCTTCATCTAATTCTCCAATGTGGAACTTAATTGTTATTTCACATGTTTTTCATCATAGGCAGCTGATTCTGATTGGTGCTACGTCCTTTCATTTTCTCATCATCTTCTAAGAGGTTCCGAAGTATCAAAGAATTCGATGGGAATTATTTGGCAGTGCACAAGAAATTTTCCATTTCGGAAGAGAGATACTGATTACACACTGAGAAGAACAAAGTTTGAACGACACAACAAGATGTTCAAATGAAAGGAAGAATGCACGGCGTTGAATTTTAAGTTAGAACTTAGATCGTAGTATCGTATGTATCCATAGATTGTTTTTCTGTACTTTATTATTATTATTAGGGTTTTTAGTAATTTTAACCTCCAATTTTTTTTTAAATCAGATGAAAAATCTCCAACTAAAATTTTATGTTTTAAACCTTTAACTATTAAACTGTTAATGTCGTTAACCCTCCGTTAATAAAGTTATGTTTTTTTTATGGAGACCCCTTAAACTGAAACATGGCGTTTTATATAACCACAGAAACGACACGAGATGCATACAATCAACGAATATTTTAGTGATTTAAATTTCCAACTATTTCTAATCGGATAAAAAAACCCCCAATTAAAATTTTATGTTTTTAAACCCTCAACTAATAACCTTTAATACCTTTAACCCTTTGTAAACAAAGTTGTTTTTTCTTAACGGAAAGCCGTTAAATTGGAACGCATGAACAATCATAATTCATCCCCAAATAAAACAAATTTGGAGTTTTTTTCTTTTTCAAGAATCATCGAACATGAATGTTGGAGTTGGGTTCCACCCGCCCCAGACCCGCTTGAGATCTTAATCCAAATCAAAAGAATGTTGGAGTTGGAGTTTGATTTTTCCATCCGATTTAAAAATAGCTGAGGGTTTAAAATCACTAAAATATATGTTAACCGTAAGCATCTCATGTCATTTCTGGGACTATATGAAACACATCGTTTCAATTTAACGGGTCTCCGTTCAGAAAAGACGATTTTGTTAACGGAGGGTTGACGGCATTAACAGTTTAATAGTTGAGGTTTAAAAACATAAAGTTTTAGTTAGAGGTTTTCCTTCCGATTTAAAAATAGTTAGGAGTTTAAATCACTAAAAGCCGTAATTATTATTATAAAATAATAATCAAGCGTATTAACGTGTGAGTAAACTATGGCTGTGAATGTAAGGTATAAAAATTAACAAATAGTGATCCACTATAATTAGTAATAGTACTAGATAATTGGAGTGGTTCTTCTTGTTCCACTCTTTATAATAATTTATTTTAGTTTAATTATATATGTTGGTTAATTATTAATAGTACATTATTCTAATATCTTTTTTATAAACAGTGGAGGCATTTATTAAAAACTAATGAATGTAGCTGTATTTCTAAATAGTTTTGTAGGTGTATTTAAAAAAATAAAATTGTGGAGACAAATGAAACTAAATACTAATTTTTATTTATTAACTAAACTTTCATGTAAATTAATTTTATTTACTAACTAAAATTTCTTATAATTAATTATAGTTTTGAAAATTTAAACTTTATATAACTATTATATATGTGTGTAATACTTTAAAATTTTAAAAGTAAATTATTTATTTTACTTATGTCTAAATTAAATAAAACATTATTTGGGAATAACTATTTCAGTTAGGAAAATAATAGTATTAAGAAATTTCATATAAATTATTTTAAATTTTTAAAGTTTTTAGATCGTTTTTTATCCGTTTTTACCATTCAAAAATACATATATTATGAATGCTAGATTCCTTCAATTCCTTCTTATCCTGTTTAATCCACTCTAGTTCGGCTTGATTCACTATATCCGCAACGTTTGATCCATTTTTCTCATTCTAAATAAATGTCAATTTGTCTCTTTTTAAAATGAAATAGTCGCAAACATCTAACTATTGGTTTTGTCACATCTTCTTCTTTGTCTTTCTGTATTAAAAAACTAGTAATGTTACAAATAATGTTACAAGTAATAAGGATCATTACAAGTTCTCTTTTATAAAACCACTATTTTAAATAGAGAAGATTACTAAGCCAAGACTTGTTTGATTTTCTTCTTCTGATCCCCAGTGAGAGACGAAGGAAACAAAACCTCAAAAGTGACAAAAAGGTTGCTTTCTTTGTGCTGTAGTGAAGTGGCATCCATTCTCCTTTGAACTTCTTCACTTCCTTTGGCTTTGTAATTCCCTGTTACACACAAACACACCATATCCACTTCACAGATGCTCAGTTTCGAGTGTTTTGTGGTGTAGAGAAAATGTTAGTGTTACCTTAGAACCGATGTCAACTTCGTGATCATCCAAGTGTTTGAATGATTTTTCAAAACCTACTAGTGCCTCAACCTGAAAGGTGCAAATATATAAGTTGTTGTTTTATGAAGTAGGGATACAGAAGTTCATGGAATAATATTTTACCAGTGTAATGTTGACGGTCATGTGTAGATTGTTTCCATCTCTTCAGAAACGGGCATATGGTGCAGTTTTGATTCAGAACTGCCAAATGTACATATATAACGGTTAATCCTATGATATTGATGATAAATGAGAGTTAGGGAGGAGGCTAACTTTAAGGTCACCAGGGTCACCGTCGAGAATGGGTTCACCATCTTCGTAGAAAGACACTTCCTGAAAGAAGAGAGAGTGAACTTCAGAGCTACAGTGATATGTAGTATCAAAGGTTTACAACATAAAGGGTGTGTAGAGAAGATCTGGATGCTTACTTCTCTGTCTTTCATTCCTTTCTCGACATCAACTATGACAAAGTATCCTTCGCGTGCATATTTGACATTTGGGCATTTGTCACACACTTGAACGGGAGGAAATAGGTGGGGGTTTGATACTGCACTAAAAAGGATGAGTTGAAAGAGAATATGCCTTATTAGTTATTACCTGCTCAGTCATCTGTTGAAACATTCCAGGACCAACTTGTCTATGATAAACCTCATTCTTGCAGTTGCACTTTCTCTTTCCAGGAGCTGGTTTTATTACATTCTTTTCTCTCCATACCTTGATAGTTTAAGAAACCAAAATTTAAAGAAACTCATTTCATGTGCATTTGCCTCAGAACCAACGAGCTACTCTAACCAAAAACATCTCTCTGGAGTGACACTATGAAAGTTATTATGTCTGATGACAACATCTTGAAAGGGGAAGGCTTAATATACCTTGACAGAGCCTCCCATGTACAAATCTTCAAGAGTGGCCTCAAGTTCCACAATGATGTCATCACCTTTGACGACATTCTCTTCTTCCTCCCTCGAACCACCACCACCAAAAAACCTGACAGTCGCATTAATAATATCAGCAACATTAGCATTTTGTTACATTCAAACACAAAATGTTAAAAAAAATATATATATCCAAATTTAGGAACAATTCGCACAACAGTAGACCATTAACATGACAAAACTCATTACTATCCTCTATCCAATACATAAACAACACTTCATTAGAAAAGGATAAAAGCTCTCAGGATAATGTGTTCCAAAACTCATTCTTAGCCACTGTGATTCAATAGAAATTGATAACCATAAATCTTATGAAACTAGTTGGAACCTAAAGAGTAACAATTATGATCTTCCAAGCAATATGTCTGGAATAAAAATGCCAACGCCATTGGTCTTTACTCCATTAATTCCTCTAATGCTTACCATTTAGAGACAATAAACAAAAAATAAACTTACTGGCTAAAGATGTCTTGCATATTCATGCCCCCAACTCCACCTCCTCGTGCAGCATGCTTCTTTAAAACTTCTTCACCATGCCAATTATATATCCCCCTCTTCTCCTCATCCGATAGCATTTCATAAGCTGTTAATTACATCACAACAAACTCAACTTCAAACCGAGAAAAAGAGATTGCACAAGTAGTCAAGGAAAATGTACCGTTGTTGATTTCAGCGAATTTGCGAGTAGCTTCCTCGTTTCCTTGATTCTTATCAGGATGATACTTCAAATCGAGTTTCCTATAGGCTCTCCTAATCTACTCGTCAGATGCACCTTTCGGTACTTGCAACACATCGTAGTAACTCTTCCTGAATAGCAAAACACATACACACAACGTTGTGAGTGAATACATACAAAAGGATTCACATGTCAAGTGAAGTTGCTTACCTTGCAATGAGGCAGATAGTGTAAGACAGTTCCAACAGTATGATACATAGCTCTGACCATTGAATCGCCATGGAAGCAGGAGAGAGAATTGTACTCTACTCTCACACGGAAATGACATCAACTACTAAGGTTGACCCAAGTAGATATTCAACACGATTGTTGATAAATGATAATAGAGATATCTTCTTTAGGACATTTAACATGAAGAAATGAAGATCGAATTTCTCACTTTTTCTTTTTTTTTTATGAGGAATGATTCAAAAAATAAATAGAAAAAGAAAGAAAGTGGCTCAGTAAGCTCATCAATGTTTGGCTTTCCAGAGCTTTTAAAATTCAAGTGTTTCCCACAATAACTATATTAATGTACCCATTGTTAAGATTGTATTTGATATATTCAACTGAATGTACAAGAACAAATTATATACACAATAAGTCTTGGAGACTAAGCTAGAGAGTTACTGCACATTCCTAAAACAGGGGAATGGCTATCTACGATAGTTATTATGAGATCTTCTTCATATCTCTCTTACATGTCCCCTCAAGCTGGAGCGTGGGAACCACGCTAAGCTTGTTTCTTAGTTCCATGAAGCGAGCTCTTGTGAGAGGTTTTGTCAATGCATCCGCTAACTGATCACGAGTATTGACATGAGCAACTTTCAGAGCTCCGCGTTGAACCTGGTTTCGTACAAAGTGATAGTCGATGGCAATGTGATTCATGCGAGAGTGGAATACCGGGTTTACACAAAGGAATGTAGCACCAATATTGTCGCAGAGGATGATCGGTGAAGACGGTAGTGAGACTCCTAGTTCAGAGAGAATGCTGCATAGCCAGATTATTTCTGATGCGGCGTTTGCTACCGCTCGGTACTCTGCCTCGGTAGATGATCTTGCAACTTCATTATGTTTCTTAAGGGACCAGGAGATGGGAAGTTTGCCTAAGTAGATGATATAGGAGTTGGTGGAGACGTAGTCATCACTATCACCAGTCCAGTCCGCGTCTGAGTATGCTTGGAGCCGAAGTTTATTGTTGGCTGAGTAGTATATACGTGTGTTGGTGTTCCTGCAAGATATCGTAAGATACTTTTCGCAGCTTGCCAGTGTTCTTCTGTAGGTCTGTGCATGAATTAGGACAGGTGATTGATAGAATATGCAATGTCGAGACGAGTGAAATGCAGGTAATGGAGATAGCCTATCAAGCGCCTATATTTCGTGGGATCAGACAGTGAAATACCTGAGTTGAGATGAAGTTTGGGAGAAGAGGCCATCGGTGTTGTGACAGGTTTGGCATTCGTCATGTCGTACTTGTGAAGAAGGTCCAAGATGTATTTGCGCTGACTGAGGTGGAGACCGTGAGAGGTTTGGTGAGCTTCTATCCTCAGAAAATAATTCAAGTCTTCCGCATCCTTTACCGAAAAATGATCTGCAAGAAGAGTTAGAACCCTTTGTATACCAGTGTTGGTGTTCCCAGTTACGAGGATGTCATCGACATAGATTACAAGATAGATATGGTGCCCGCCATAGTGAAGAACAAACAGAGATGTATCGGCCAAAGAATTTTTGAAGCCGAGACCAAGAAGAAAGTTGCGCAGCTCCGTGTACAAATCTCTGGGAGCTTCTTTGAGACCGTATATGGCGTTGTTGACGTCGAGTTGTTTGACTGGCCATGAGTTGCTGATGGAAATTTCAAGGACAAGTCGTAAGGTGGTGAACTTGATTACTGGACTGAAGGTTTTGACATAGTACCGACCGTACTCTTGTTTATATCCTTTCGCGATTAATCGTGACTTGCAGCAGCGATGGCTACCGTCTGAGTAAAACTTGTTCTTGTGTAACCATCGACATCCAACTACATTGTATTGCGGCTGTCGAGGAACTAGGGTGAAGGTGCCGTTGTGAGCGAAGGCATCTATTTCAGTGGACATCGAGCCTCGCCATTTTTTATCTTTTAGAGCTAGAGTGAGGATGTTCGGTTCCGTTAGGATAGACGATGATAAAGGAGCGGAGTAGTTGTATTTTGGGTTCAGTTTAGAGATCTGATTCTTCTGTCTTGTCACCATCGGATGATTGTTTACATGTGGAGAAGGAGAAGGAGGCGATGTTGGTAGTTCCGGGGAAGAAGATGAAGCCGTCGGAGTAGATTGTTGCGGAGAAGCAGAGCCTGATGGTTGCTGCGACTGGCTGTGTGATGTGGAATCCGACGGAGAGGAGTTCGAGCTTTGGACACTACTAGTTGGTGACGAAGCTGACCCTGTAGATAAGTCTAGACCAGCACCACCACCATTAGTAATACTTAAAGTAGGTGTTGAAGAATTTACCTGCACTGACGGATGAGGCTCCGAGCTCGAGGTCCCCGTTTGCTCTACGAGTGGGGAAGGTTGAGCTGGAGCGGTTAGTGGAGGTGGTGTAGGAATTGTTGTGGCTTGCGGTAAGATATGGGAGTGGTTTGATTTGATGAGGATGAGGTGAGGTTAGGCGTTTGTTTGGTTTTGAAGGGGAAGACAGTTTCATCGAAACGTACATGCCCAGAAACATAGATGCGACCGGTATGAGGCTGAAGACAGAGGTATCCACTTTGAGTGGGAGAGTAGCCGATAAAAACGCACGGCATTGAGCGAGTTTCAAGTTTATTTTTGTTATAAGATCGTAACCATGAAAAACAGAGGCATCTTTAAACTCTGGTCTTGGTGTAATTCGGCTGAGTGCCAAACAACTTGTGAAAGGGTGAGTCCATAGCAAGTACGGCAGTAGGTAAACGGTTGATCAGGTAGGTGGCTGTTGAGAAGGCATAAGACCAGTATTGTTTTGGCATGGACGCATGGGTGAGTAAGGTGAGACCGGTTTCAACAACATGTTTGTGTTTCCTTTTAGAGATGCCATTGTGTTCTGGAGTGTGTGAAGGGGATGTGAGATGAGAGATGCCTGCGTCGGATAAGAGTTGTCGGAGAGCAAGGAATTCTCCTCCATTATCTGACTATAGGGTGCCGGTCTTGGTGGAGAAGTGGTTCTCGACAAGCAATTTGAATGCCTTGAATGTTTCTTTAACTTGTGGTTTTAACTTGAGGGGATAGAGCCAGGTGTAGCGGATGTAATGATCAATAAGCACAAGATAGTACTTGTCGTTATCAATGAAGGGAACATGAGAACTCCAAAGGTCTGTAAAGATATATTGGAGAGGGCGAGACGAAGAGATAGTTGTTTGGTGAAAAGGAAATTTTTGAGATTTATTGATAGCACAATATGAGCACAAAGTGGTTTGGGTTACATATTGGTTGTAGGGTAAAGAAAATTTAGAAACAACAGACTTAATAATGGAAGTAGATGGATGACCTAGGCGAAAGTGCCAATCAGGCAGACTTATTTTTGGTGTAGGGGCTGTGCAAAAGGCTTGAAGGGTAGATGGTTGGACAGGCCACTCGTATAGCTCATCCTTGGTCTTGCCTTGGATTAACGGGACCCCCGAGCTGAGATCCTTCACCTGAAAGAGAGCAGAGAAAAATTCAACAGATACTTTGTTAACATTACATAGACGGTAAACATAGATAAGATTTTTCTTAATGTTCGGCACACAAAGAACTTTGTTTAAAAATAGATTGCGTATAGGAAAAGGAAGAGATATAGAACCAGTGTGTGGGATTGACAGGCCTGACCCATCGCCAATCATCGCTGAGTCATCTCCGAGGTAAGACTGTTGTAGCGCCATGTTGCGTAGATCACTGGTGATGTGATGCGTGGCACCGGAATCCATCAGCCACGCAGTGGATGGCTGTTGAGCAGCGACAGCAACATTCACTCGAGGTTGCCATGGACGGAACGGAAAGCTTGGGGATTGAATGGCTGTTGTTGCATATGAGGGCATCTCCTCGCACTATGCCCAAACACACTACACATTTGACAACGACCTTATAGCCTTTTGAAGATTGGTTCTCTTGTTTGTGGGGGTTGGTCTGGTTGGATCTGTAGTTGTTGGTGTTCCAGTTGTTGTTGCTGGTGTTTCCTCGGTATGACTGGTTCTGTTTTGGACGGGAGTAGCTACATTAGCTGTCATCGGAATTGCAGTAGAAGCAGGTGTGGTGGCAGATAAGATCTTTGCCTCCTTGTTAATGAGTTTTTCATGGATTTCGACAATAGATGGAGTAGTGTCTCGACCCTCAATTTGATCAGCAACGGTTTTGTAATCTTTAAGAAGCATGTTGATGATGAACTCGATATTGTCTTCATGCTCCAGAGGTTTTCCAAATAGCACCAGTTGATCAAAGCGACTGGTAAGTCCGCGCATATACTCATCAATGGTCTTGTCTCCTTTGGTGTAATGGTTCAGTTGCAGCCTGAGTTATTGAATGTGGCCGCGGCTTGGAGTAGCATAGGTTGCGCTTACTGATTTCCAGACATCATGAGCCGTCTTGGTGTTTGTAACGAGCGATTGAATTGATGGAGAAAGTGTACCGATGAGGCCGCTGTATATCAGACGGTCTTGTCTGTGCCACTCTGTGAAATCGGGGTTGTCTGTGATCTGATTGTCAATCATGACAGTCTGTTCAGGAGCTGGGTTGAAGCCGTCGATGTATCCAGCTAGATCGTAGCCATCGAGAAGAGCATGGATCTGGAGGCTCCATGTCATGTAGTTTGTGGATGTTAAATTGGTGATGTTAACCATGTTAACGTTGAGGAGAACTTTTGTTGTATCTACGATATCAGAAAGTGCAGGGTATGTGGTCATGGTTATTGAAAGAGAAAAAAGATCGAGAGAAAGAAGAAATGAGAGAAAGAGAAGAGGGCGGCTGGAAAGAAAAATTTAGGGTTATCGAGTAGTTCTTGATACCATGTTAAGATTGTATTCGATATATTCAACTGAATGTACAAAGACAAATTATATACACAATAAGTCTTGGAGACTAAAGTCGAGAGTTACTGCACATTCCTAAAACATGGGAATGGCTATCTACCATAGTTATTATGAGATCTTCTTCATATCTCTCTTACACCCATAATACTGATTAAAAGATGCTACAATTAATTTTGATTTAGATATTTGACCTTAAAACATACTATTAGTACTAACTAACAAAACAAAATATTAAAAGATGTCGGAAAATATTAGTATGCATTAAGATAATACCCTACATGACATACAGCATGCGTATATCATTACCTCGCTATCTCACAATCGACTTTGCGATGAGGAATAAAAATGATAGAGATCCAACGGTCAGAACTTGTTGGAGAGTTGTCACATGGACCCATGGTATGCCCTCACATATCGCCATTATTGCAGTGGCGACCAACTCCCGCTAAACGCCATTACTGGCACTTACGTTTATCAATCAATGTAATGTTCGTTACAACCCAAAGAGCAAATGCTGAGAAATTACTTAAATACCATTTCTTCAAAGACAGTAGTCACCGATAGTTGACAACATAAAAAATCAACGATGACGCTGCTTCATTCATTATTCAGAACATTCGTTTTGTATTAAAAACAAATTCATCTGATACGTTGGAAATTAACAAGAAAAGGTTGGAATGTTTATTGATAAAAGACAAGTGAATGATATTTGAAAATAACCCCAAAAATAACCTAAAGTATAACCTAAAACAGAGGAAAATGACTTCCAATTACATGCCTACTAGTGTATTAACTTATAATCGCATACACACATAGATGCGTTTAACAAATCACGTGTCTGCTGCTGCATACACACTGTAGATTTGCCTATTTAGGTATACCGTATACGTAGTCATTACTATAAATCACAACCTATCTCTCTCTCTCTCTCTCTTTATTAAATTCCTCATTCGTTATCTCTCTCTCTCTCAAAGTATGTATAAAGTATAGGTTAGGGAGAGTGTCTGTGTGTGTGTGATGGAAATAACGACGAAGAGGTATTGGCGGAGGTGGAGAGGATACGAGAAGCTTGATAGGTCATCGACGGTGGGTCGAAGGAATGGAAAACGGGTCAAAATGGATCCGACCAAGAAGAAACGCTTTTGGAGGATCAAGATTATGCCAAAACTGAGGATCCTCAGAAGAGCTTCACCTAAGAGGTTTCTGGTTTGGTTACGCGACTCTTATGTTAATATGATGATGAGGTTGGCAAACTCACGGGCCGTCGGTGCTTCTGGATACGGTGGATCCGGTTTTGGGTCGGGTCAGATGAAGGAGTATGATGAGAAAATGCTTGTAGAGATTTACAAGACAATATTGATGGCACAAGCTCAGGGGAAACTCGTGCAACACGACACAGCTAACAAGCTTCCTTGTGAACCAGCAGTTGTCTCCGTTTATCCTGTTGTTTAGGTAACTAAAGAAAAAAAAAATTATCCTTTTTGCTTGTAATAAAAGAGAATCAAAATTCTTGACATGTTTGATATTACTTTTCAAGATTTCTGATAGTAAAGTTGTGATTTTGATATGTATTAAATAACTATATATATAAACTAGTTATTAGGAAGAATAATGCAGATGGTGAATTGAGGGTTCTATTTAATGGAGTTTTCAATATTTATCAAGTGTCGTTGAATCTGTGATTCTAAAACGTAAAAGATTCGCATTTACATCGTAATTATTCATGTGTGTAAATTATCTTATATTAAAAGCGACCCTATAATTAAGCTAAATTTGTTGACTATGTTGTGGATTTTGGATGATTATTTTTGCTGAATGAAAGTGTTTTTGGAGGTGTGTGATTTCATCTTGGAATCGGTCGGGAAGTGAATGCGGTTGGAGGATATCAGTGTGGTAATATTTATTGCGTTGAATGTATCGGTGCGATGATTTCAAATGAGTCAGCAAGCACGTATTGTGTTTCTTTCATCAACTTACACACAAGAACTTAAATACTAGGCATTTTATCCGTTAAATTTGATTCGACTCGTTATTCGATTGGATTCAAAAATTTAGAATATTCATAAACTTCGAAGCAAAGCATATATTAAAACTCAATATCCATTAAAGGTGAAACAAACCACAAATACTAAAATTTTGGACAGTGGATATCGATCCAATCCGGTAATATATAAATACATGTATATCTTGATTATATTTAAAGTTTTAAATGTATTAAATTTAATAATTATTATTTTAACATATGATTTGATAAATTCTATTCATATTATTATTTATATAAAAATATTATATAAAAGGAAGAGAAAAAAATTATGAAAATTATATTTTTTTCTTAAGTTTGTGTTATTATAATTGTTAAGTGAGTTAGAAAAATTTACAAAATATATGATTCACTTCTTCTTTAATTTTTCTTTTATATCATGCAAAATATATTTTACAAAACAAGTTTGTATCAAATTTTTAAGATAATTTGTATTAATTAAGAAAGATGAGATATCTGTAAGTATTCGTATGTATCAGCAAATATCTATTTATTTTCCTGATTTCCGTTTTTCCGAATATTTGTATTTTACCAAAGCAAAGTAAATCGAAAACTTAGATATCCGTAACATATAAAACAATCACAAATACATTTGGAAACCCGGATATCTGATCCGTGTGTCCAGAAAAAATTGGGTCCGGATCTCCTGCGGGAATTATTTTGAAGATCCAAAACCAAAAAGAGTGGTATTTGCTAGCAACAACATAAAGGTCTGTTAAATACCTACCTAATCATGTTAATACCTTCGGCATTGAACATACCAAATGACCATGTGTCATATAGGATTTATGTTTAAGTAAATTAGCCATCGTAGTGCTCAATGAGTTGAAATTTTCTTTCACATGAATAGAAGATACTATTATTTTGTCCCACCATGATGAGTAAGATTTAATGTTTGCTTCTCAAGTCACTCTCAACGAATCAGTAATTAAAGTTATATTGATAGCACCATGAAGTCCTTTTAATAATTTGACAAACTATAACTTTTTATCAGTTCTGCATACATGTAATTTATACATACACATGTATAAACCTTTTTTTTGGTAAAAGCATGTATAAACTTTGTCAACAATATATGAAAAATAAGGAAATGAGATGATCACTAAAGTTAAATTTTACCAAATGAATAAAACCTTGTTGTTAAAAACACCATTTTTTTACACAATGAAATATCAACACAAAAATTTAGTGATGTAACAAAACAAATCTTACTTTTATATACATTTTACAAAGTATATGTTTACATATGTATCTTTGAGGTAATGTTCAAATTAATAAAACGGATGATATATATAGGTTATTACCAAATAATATAGTCTAAAATCAAAATAAAATAAAGTAACTTAACTTAGCAATGCACTATACTTTAACGTTACAGTGGCACATGGAATTTTGTGGTAAGTTAATAAAAGAAAACAAGTTATATGATATGAAACATTTTTAAGATACAATTTTGTATCACTAAATTGTTTGGTTCAATTTCTACTAAATTTTTAAATATAAATACTATGGTCATGCAAATGATATAAATCCATAGATTTAACTTTTTTATTTTAAACACCGTCGTAAGCTAGTAGAAGCAACAATGTAGTTATTTAAGTCATAAATCCATGAATCACGGGGTTCACTTGATCCAAAAATCTAAATTTTATCACATTTGATAAAAAAAATTACTACAAAGTTTTAATTGTACACCACTTTGAGATATTACTGATTTAGTTATCTTGGCACCAAATCAGTTATGATCATAGAAATTAGTTGTATGCTAAATGATCTTTAACAACAATGACTTGTTCCAGCTGAGTTTGAATATTATTAATTAATAGTATTACATGAATTCAACGGATAAGTCATTAGTGATTGTAGTTCATCTATGTACGCTGCTAAAGATTTAAATACTTTATCTTTTGTTTTTATATTAACAATTCACATCAGACTCAAGAAATATAATACACACCAATACTTCAGTTTGCTTCAGTAGACCAAACATGGTTTCCAGGATAGTCGCCAGAGGTAAGCGATAGTTTCCGTGTTGAAATGACACATTATCTGCCGAACAATATTAACTTGTAATTATACTAGGTTCATAGCCTCTGCGTAAGCGTAGAACCGAGACATTAATGATGTATTGTGATATTTTATAGATTTGATTTAAAGTTAGTACCGGGACATCTTTTTGTGTGGGTTTAACCAAAAACCCGATTGAATTGAGTTGATATACGAAGAGGGAATTCATATGCTTTAAAATATTTATATATTATTTTAATAATGATTTTCTCGAGTATTGTGTTATTAGGGCTTTCATATCCAGAATTGGTGATTTATTTGGTTGTTATTGTCTAATTTGTAGGTTGGTAGTATATTATTGTTAAATAGTGAATTGGTATTTCTTAAAAAAAATAGTAAGATTATGTTTTAAATTATACAAAGAAATATGGTTTAATGGATTGAAGATAGAAAGGGGAAATGTGATTGTTAAGGGATTATGCGAAATGTTTAGGAGTTAATATTTATTAGTGAGTAAAGAGCTGTTTTTATTTGCAGACAAGAGTGTTTAACGAATTTATACGTGTTTGTATTTCTACTTTTTTTGTATGAATTAATCGGATCTTAATGTTATTAGCCATATGACCATATGTAGCCCAACATAGGTATTTGTTAATATATAACTCTAATATGGGAACGAAGAAGAAGACATTTTGTTATCTGAAAAGAAATACAGTTTGTTTTTTTTTATGTGCCATGACACGTTTTTGAAAATATATAATTGTAGATTAATAATGCTATAATTTCGTATAATTATATATATGTATGGTTAAGATAGTTATTTTTTGTATTTGTTAAAAATATTTTGTGGTAGTTTAAAAAATGGGAATGGTGGATTAAAAAGTTCAAAGTGGTATAGGTTATATTCGAACACAATGAATACATAGTAGTTGAGTATTTAAATGATTAGGCTTGAAATTTGTTGGGCCTAGCGTCTCAAGGTCTGAGACTGGATAACTGTTTATTCCCCCTTTTTGTTTCTCCTCATCATCTTCGGCAGTGTGACACGCTCTTGTGATTCTTGGTCTGATTTTTTAGTGTGTCAGTTTGTGAAATTATAGTTGTTCTATAGCGGCATAGAAGAGAGATTTTCTTACCTCAGCTAAGACTGTCTCCGCCGTATTCCTTACTCAATGAATCTCTGTTGATACGTAACTTGCAATAAAAAAGTTTGAATTTGTTGTATAACTTTGTTTCTATTGTTATTAGTTTTGTTTACTAAAACCAATAATGAATGATTTAGGTTCTATATGTTTATTTGGTAGGTATGACTTATGTTTATCTTAACATGACAGAGAGATTCGAAGGTTGCATGACGGACGCCGGTGACGCTTGTTTTAGGAATGGAGACGCATAGATCATTTTAGGAGATGGTTAAAGTTAAGAGGAATCGATGAGTTTTGTGGAGATGCGGGTTGGGTTCATCAAACATGAGAATCATATATATGTATAGGGTTTACAGAGGGGCTACAAATCAGGAACATTTATGATCAAGCGATGTAAGATGGAGAGATGAAGAGTTCACCGGTGAAAAAAAATAGAATACGAACAGACACACGGCGCAGCTCTGTAACTCAAACATGTCTAGGACGATGATGAAAGGAATCTTAACTCATCTTAAACGACGACAGTTTACAATATGGAAAAACTATAACTGTTGTAAAGTTGAGAATTTTCTTCATATAAAGTGATAAAACAATCAAAAATGAAACTCATAATACACTTGCAGTCATGACCCTCAAAAGAAGCCAAAGAAGCAAAAGTTCCCGGCTTTCATAAATATATATTAGTTTCGGCCATCAATGTACAAATTATCCTTTAGTTTAGTGGTAAAAATATTAGTGTTGGTATCTTAATAACATGGGTTCGAATCATGGGTTTGACTGTTTTTCACATTTTTGAAAGTAGGATTCATCTAATGCTGAGGCGCAATGAGGAGTCTTGGAAGCTCAACCATTATAATATATATTTCATTTTAAATGTCGTTTATGAGTTCTTCATACATATGAAAAAAAATATATTAAAGTAATTATTATGCCCCTCATAAGTACACTATACTTTTTAATATATCTTGTTAATACAATAAATTCAAGATTTCAGTTCTTTTTCTTGAATTTTATGGTACATCTGGAAGAACGGAAATAACAAGATGTATACAAATAGGGATAGAAATCCCCAGGAAATTCTTCGGATTGCGGACGTAGAGAGTGAAGTGTGGGAAGAAGCTCAACTCACAATACCAGAGAGGATCCATCCAGATACTCCATCGTTGGAATGGTCCTTGTCTGCACAGGATCGAATTTGCTTCATTCACGGGGCATGGACGGCACATGATAAATTTTCGGGCCAGGGGTGGTTTTGTAATTCAAATGGGATAGAGGAGAAGATGATGGGTGCGATGAGTCTCCGAAGAGGCTTATCCACTTTGCATGCAGAATGTGAAGCATTGATATGGGTTATGGAGTGCATGAAGACCCTCAATTACTCAGACGTAGTTTTTGCAACATAATGTTCTCAATGGTGAAGATGGTGTCCTCACCCGATGAATGGCCATCGTCTGAAACACACTTGGAGGAGTTCCGACGAAGTAAGATTCTCTTTCCTACCTTCAAGATTCGACATATATCGAGGGCGCATAGTTTAGTGGCGGACAAGCTTGCAATGTTCCCCTTCTGCTATGTTCTATGTCGATTATATGTCTCTGGTCTGATTTTTCGCTCCGGCAGCGCATAGATGATAGTTTTTAGTTATAGTGTTGTCAAAAATCAGTTCGGCTGACCACCACTTAATCTAATTGAGAAGGACGGTTGACAAAAAAAAATTGTTGTAAAAAAAAAAACAAAAAAAAAACTGAAGATTTGTTTAAAGTTATGTATTAAAAATTAAAATGACATTTAATATGAAACCA